CGCACGTGTGTGTGTGAGAGAGAGAGAGAGTGTGTGTGTGTGTGTGTGTGTGTGAGTGAGAGTGAGAGCGTGTGTGTGTGTGTGGTACCTGTTGGTGAGGTTCTGCAGGCAGGTGTTGATGTATTGGCTGTAATAATCCACCTGCTCTGAGTGGAAGCAGCTCTTGCACTGCAGGCGGTTCAGTGTCTCTCTGAGTTTGACCAGCTCCGCCTGACGCCTCTGACGATACACACGCTGATGACGGATGTCCTGCACACACACACACACAGAGCAGACCGTCAGCACACACACACAATACCTGACCGTCACTGTCACACACCTGACTCTGGTTACCTTGGCGATGAGCTGCAGTATCTGTGTGTGTGTGTCAGGAGGGCTGAGCATCCCGATGGCCTCCAGTCTCCTCAGGTTCCTCTGGATCTTCCTCTTCTTCTCCTCCAGCGTCAGGTTCCCGTCTGCGATCAGCGATTGGTTCCTCTTCATCTTCTCTGGGGTTCGTGCGTCTCTCTGAGCGCGCTGATGCATCATCCAGCCGTGCTGCACCTCCTGAACACACACACACAAAAAAAGGATATTAAAATAGAAACCATTATTTTATATTGTAATAACATTTTTCAAGATTCTGGAGCAGAAACAATTATAACCTTAAAAAGTTGTTAAAATACTGCAATTTAAATGTTTACATGCAACTCAATTTATTATCTGAAAAAATAAACTTGATTAATTAATTGATTACATAAACTTTATTAAAAAAAAATTTTTTTTTTTTGGTACATCATTGCCATCGGTTTCAAAATAAAGCAATTTTTGCGCACTTAAAACATGTGAAACTTAATGCAATTTCTGACGGGTTGTTTTTGTATTTTAAAAAAATAGATAAAATAGTAACATTTATTAATGAAGCCGTTTAATCGCAGTGTTCATGATTTAAATGAAAAATAAATAAATAAAACATCAAATTTTTTGTCAATGCTATGTACTATTACTGTGTATTATATAGTACTAAAAAAAGTAATTGTCATTATGACAATGATGTTTACATGATATAATGATATATATTTATGATACATATCATGGTTTGCACATTTTTTTGGAAGCATAAATAATATATTTATGTTTCCATGTGTTGAGGAGTTCACTGATGGAGATGTAGATCACGGGTCTGTTGAGGATCAGCGTCTCTGAATACTCGTCGATGTTGAAGCGTTCCTCCGGCTCAGGCACGTCACACACAGCGCGCAGGAACTTCCTGTAGCAGGAGAGAACGAGTAATGAGACAGGAAGTGTGTGTTCTGAGCTGCTCCTCTGATAGCAGTCACTCACCTGAAGCGGCTGTGAGTGTGTGTGTGTGTGTGTGAGTGAGTGAGAGTGTGTGTGAGTGAGTGTCCCTCACCTGAAGCGGCTGTGAGTGTGTGTGATGTACTCGTTCAGAGCGTGCAGGTGAGCCGAGTCTCCGTGGAAGTGTTTGAGCGCGGCGCTGTGCTGCAGGATGCGGGCGATGGAGCCCAGTGTTCGCCGCTGACCCGGCAGCAGAGCAGAACCAACCCCGAACTCCACCACGTCAAAACCATCCGGAGCCACGATCGCAGGGTTCATGTAGCGATAGTAGACCAGGTTACCCACGATCTGATCACACACACACACAATAAATAAATCAAAACATAAACCAGGAGGTTATTTTGTACATTTGAAATATATATATATAAATAAACAATTTACAAGTATTCAAATATATCATTATTTTTTATTTATTTATTTATTTTAAGTGGAGACACTGCAGGCAAAAGCAGTTTTTTTATGCACCTGTCAAGTTTGAGATTTTGGGCTTTTTGGTTTTTCATAAAGTGTTTTTTTCAGACTAGTGGAAAGAAAACATCCAACAGACACTGTTAACTGTTTCTTTTATAGCACTTTATCTATTTGTGTCAACAGATTTCAATTACAATACATAGTTTTCTCAAAATTAGTTTTTTCTCCTACACGGAGCTATAAATCTCCTCTTCAGCAGCTCTTACACACACCAAACTTTAAATTTTTATTCCTGTTTATATCCTGAAGGTTTTTACAGAGGGATTTGTTCATATATAATTTGCTTGATTATATACAACATTTTATTCCCCCCAAAATTGTGAAAATATATTGTTTTCTGGCTGTATTTTCTGAATTACGGAGTGACAAAAATTCCCTCTGTAAAAACTTTTGACTCTAATATGTCAAAAAAATTAAACAAGAATTTTGAAACTGACATCATCCAGTGTTTAGATTTTTGTACTAGAAATGTATGCAAATTAGCGCATATTTCATGAAATAATTAATCATTTGCATATTTAAACCTAACATTTTAGAAAACTTGTAATACACAATTTTTTTGCAATTATCAATGTAATCAATCAGCTGGGTAAGTAAGGTGATAACTATTAGTTAATATTTTTACCCTATTAACCTGCAGT